CCTGTCTCACCCGCTGCTCCCCTCGGCAGTGATTTTTGGTCAACCTGCCTCTTCTGTTCCCCACTCTGTCTCTGGTGAATCCTCTCACCCCTCACATCTCTGGCCTGTACCCCAGCTCTAGTATGCATAAATAAATAAAATCTTTAAAAAAAATAACAGCAGAATTTTGGAACAGATAAGGATTAGACAAAAATAGTCTTGGAATTAGACAGAACATTTAGCCTTGGGGAAAAATAAGTCTTCTTCATTGAAAATCCTTAACACTGAAAATGAGCAATTTCAGAAAAAAGCTTAAATATTGGAAACTGGCATTTTCAGTGTTTGCTGGCATTTTGTAACTGAATTCTTTTAATGATTCTGCTAACTTCCTCTTTCTTTTTTCATTCATTCATTCATTCATCAAATGTTAATTGACCGTATATTACTAAACACCAAATACTACATTAGAAACTGGAAATTCCAAGAAGAGTGAAACATGGCATCTGCCCTGACAGAGCTCAGTGGAATGGGGGAGATAAGCACCCGCACAAATACCTGCAATTGGTGTGATAAATGCACAATGATCAAATAAGATGAAGGACTGGCACTGAATTAGAAGTTTCAGAAAAGACAGTGGGAGGTGGTTTTTCAGGTTTACATCAAAAGAAGGAACATCAAAGTTGTAAAAGGGGGTGTCTTGGGAACAGATGGGAGTTTTGAGATTCTCAGGGACCACGTGTGGTATTTACAAGTGGCAATGTGGAGCACGGATCACAGGAAGCTGAGAGCGCCCGCTCTGTGTCCCAGTCCAGATTATTTTCTTCCTTGATGACTGCAAAGCTTTCATCAGTAGTTGGACTTTGGTGTTCTACTTACCTTCCATAAAGGTGCACATATAAACCAAAGATCCCTGTTTGTAACAATATAAACCTGGATGTACCTAAATATTTACCAAAATGGGAATTGTTAAATAAATTGCCATGGAAAGTATGGAGTATGCGGTATTAAGGTATTAAGAGAGGTGATATTGATGTGTTTAGAAGAAAGTTAGTGAAGATACCATTACATTATTAGAAAAGGAGAAAAATGTGTTACCATAATAAATACTTATGATCTCATATTTGTGTGTGTATACACATATATTCAAATATATTGAGAAATATCTGTGGAATCTGGCACACAGCCATACATATACCTCCAGGGCAAGTGGTAAGGAAAGACAGCAGTAAAAGAAAAGAAAGAGAATATGGGGGGGGTGGGGCGTGGAGGCAGAGAAAACACAAGAGGACCTCTCAATTTTTATTGTGTTTTTCTGGATCATTCAAATTTCTCCATATTTGTGGACTTCATTTTGTAATTTCAGAAATGAAATAGTGCCGATGAAGCACTAAGCAGTATCTGCCATGTGGCAGTCATAAATATTAATTCTTTTAGGCATGAAAATGTCACTCAAAATGATTTAAATCTGTACAGAGCATCATATCCAGGATTATAAATAAGTGTTTTCTCTTGCTGCTAAAATGGGATAAAGTAAATACATTCCAATCAATAGGCTTTAGGTTAAATATGTTTTCTACTTATATAGTCATTTAGGGTTTAATTATTGAAAGCTAAGTTTTAAACAGGAAGTCTTCCAAAGCTAGATAACATCAGATTTCTCTTAAGTACTTGAAATTTCCCATTAACTACTATTGCTTTATCTTCAGAGTATTAAGCATTCAAAATATTTAACATTCAGAGGTCATTGTCTATCAATGAAAATCAAGGTCGGATCATTTATGATATTCCACCCCACCATTTCAGTAAATTGTATTATTTCAGTAAATATTCATTAAATTGAACTTAAATTTAATTTTGTGAAACTCCATGTAACACTCTACAAGTAGGTCATCTTTTATTGTATTCATATTTTTATTATATTCATTTAGCCATTTTTGTTTTTATGAAAAGCTATGGATATATTGAATTAATAGTCAATTTTTCTGAAATGTTCTGACCTCTATTCAAATTCTTCATGATAAATAATTTATTTGTATTAATGTAATTCTTCATGTAATTAATTTGAATTAACACTTTAATATTTATCTTATAGATGAATTTGACCTTTCACCTATGAGGTTTTCTTAAAGTACGTCACTTGTGCGAAGGAGATGATAGAACAATTTGTGATCATGTATATTGAAACTTTAGGAGCCATTTTTTTAGATACTAGTTGTGTTAATAAATATCTTCAAACCTATTTCTACTTTCTTCATTTTTACTGGATTATCATAAGGCAAAAATATTTTTCTTATGGAGAAAAAGTGTGATATAATACCAATATTTCCTTGATATTTTTAGACTGATATAATTTTTTAAGTTTGAATGTTTCCAAATGTATTTCATAGGAGAGTGTTCTTTACCCCATTTACTACTCTGAACCTCTTGTGAAACTGATTTCAACATGTTGTGTATGTTAGAATTGATGAAGTATGGTATGTGGAAATTTTATGTTAAACTTACAGGGGAGAATTGAGGTATGATCCAGGGATCAGCTTCTAGCAACCCCCTGGCAGAAAATCTTAGTAAAATTAAGTGACTTATTTTTTGCACAATTTTTCAGTAAACATTTACTTGATTCTCTAGTCTGTCAGGTAACTGGGAAAATCACTTCAACCCCAATAGCATTGATAATTCCATGGCTTTTATGTCTTTTTCCTATCTTTTTTAAATTAAGGTTTTTTTTAGATATTTATAGATTCATATGCATTTGTAATAAATAAAGCAGGGAGCTACTTGTGTGGTTTTTTACTTAGTTTTCCCAAGTGGTAGGTTGCACTCTGTAAAACTGTAGCATTTTGTCACAACCAGGATGCTTATGTTAACATAATCCATCAATTTTTTTTTAGATTTAGTTTTATTTATTTATGCATAGAATAACTGGGGTGCAGGCCAGAGGTGCAGGGGGTGAGAAGATTCACCGGAGACAGAGTGGAGAGTAGAAAAAGTGGATCTACTGAAATACACTGCTTAGGGGAGCAGCGGGTGAGCAAGACGGGATAGGCCTGCTGTGCTGTGTGGGTAGCTCCCTGGCTGGGGCCCAACTCATGTCACAGCGACTGTCAATAGCTTGATAGTGCTGAGACATTAACCCTTGCGCCACCAGGGAGGCCCTAATCCATAGATCTTATTTAAGTCTCCCTTGTACTCATTTGTCTAAGTGTGTATGTAGTTAGTTCTATGTCGTTTTATGTTGGTTCTATGTCGTTCTATGTCGTTCTGTGTCGTTCTATGTCGTTGTGTCCACCACCACATTCTAGACAGAATATAGTTCCTTTCCCACAAGGATAGCCTGTATATCCCTTTTTTCTATTCTTACATCACTGTTCATTTTTGTGCAATATTTGATTTCTCCCTTCAGGTGTAGACTCCATAATTCTCTTACCTCCACAGCACTAGGTTGAGCCACCACCATAGCCCCCTGTGCTCTTCCCTCCCCTGCCATGACTGCTCCCCTCCTCAGGGGTATGCCTGGGCTCTATGGTTTGCCTGCAAGTTTTGTCTTTTTCCTGATCCTTTGCTCAGTTTCTCAATATTCTTCCTATAAATGAGGCCATCTGATACTGTTCTGTTTCTTTTTGACTTATTTTTCTAAGCATAATGCCTTCCCGCTCCATCCATGTTGTTGCAAATGGCATGCGTTTATCTTTTTTGAATGCTGAGTAATATTCCATTGTGCATATGTACCACGTCTTCTTGATCTAGTCATCTGTTTTGGGGCATTTGGGTTGTTTCCATATCTTGGCTATTTTTTTTTAAAGATTTATTTATGCATCCAAGAGCTGCGGTACAGGCCAGAGATATGGAGGCAGAGTGGGGAGGGGGTGGTGGTGAGCGGATTCACCAGAGACAGAGCTGGGAGCAGAATAGGCAGACTGACTGAAACACGCTGCTGAGGGGAGCAGCAGGGATACAGGAGAGGTCTGCCTCGATCTTGACTATTTTAAATAGTATAACAATGAACATAGGAGTCTGATTTCCCTTTGAATTAGTCTATTTGTGTCCTTCAGATAGATTCCCAGGAATGGAATATCTGGGTCATATGGTAGATCCAATTTTAGGGTTTTAAGAACCCTCCACACAGCTTTCCATAGTGGCTGGACCCGTTTGCATTCCCACCAGCAATGAAAGAGGGTTTCTTTTTCTCCACATCCTTGGCAGCATTTGTTGTTACCAGTTTTTTTTTGTTTGTTTGTGTTTAATATGGGCCATTCTTACCAGTGTGAGGTAGTAACTCATTATAGTTTTGATTTGCATTTCCCTGATTATAAGTGATGTTGAGAATGTTTTCATGTACCTGTTGGTCATTTGCATTTCCTCTTTGGAGAAGTGTACAACTCTTCTGCCCATTTTTTGACTAAGTTGTCTGCTCTGCTTTTGTTGTGTTAGCTCTTTGTAGATCTTTGAGATCAATCCCATATCAAATGACTGGTGCGCAAATATTTTCTCCCACTCAGCGGGGTGTCGCTTCGTGCTTGGTTCCTGTCTCTTTTGCTGTACAGAAGCTTTTTAATTTGATTTGTTTTTCTTCTCCTTCATTGTCTTTGCTTCTGGATATGAGTTCTCAAAGGTGTTTCCTAGGTGCAAGTTATGGAGTGTTTCACCTGTTTTTTCTTCTACATATTATACGGTTTCATAAGCCATTTTGGTTTTCTATTCCTCTTGACTTGATTTGTGTGTGTGTGTAGCCCATTTATCACCCGCCCACCCACTCCCTCATGAACTTTTTACATACTGAGGCTTGAAGGCAGTTTTTTTTTTTCCTAGTTATGTTTTGGAAAGTAACCGATTTGGCTTTTATTTTCCTCTGGTGAACAACTGCAAATAAATAAACTAAACAAGTGAACATTCTTGAGTTGTGCATCTCCCTGTTGACTGGCAAGGGAACCAATGGGAAGGATGAAGGGCTGCCTTGGTTATGCTGCATTTGTAGCTCCCTGAAGATACAAAAACAAATTTGCTAACTTTCCTTCTATTCCCAGATTACGCTCGATTTGAGGCCAAAATCCATGACCTACGAGAGCAGATGATGAACCACAGCATGAGTTCCGGGTCCGGGTCCCTGCGAACCAACCAGAAGCGCTCCCTCTACGTCAGGTAGGCACCAGAGCGTTTCTTACTGTCATCTGCATTTTGTGAATAATCCAGCTTGGGGAGACAAAGGCAACACCTGGTATCAGTGGAACATGTATTCATATTAACCCATCCTCATTGATCCTGTGTGATCGAAAGTAAAGTTCTTAGTACAAGTTGCAATGAAAATGAGAAGAAACGTTTTCAGTTCTTATTATCTTAAATTGATTATGTGGATAAAAGCGCTGGACATTGGACCACCATCCAAATGGAAAGAAAATATACCTGTGTCACCTCCTGGTCTGCTTGCTGTCTATATTCTATTAACTTTGGTGGACTGATTTGAAACCAGAAGTACTCTTGTAAAAGATAATAGGTTTTGTTTTTCCTACAAGCTTTAGTGAAATGATTTTCTTCTGTGACATCTCATTACCACAGTTTCTGAGGCTACACAGTTTCTTATTCTTTGCCTGATAAAGCTAATTAATTTCCCAGAAAAAAAAATTACTAATTGAACTTGAAATGCCTTCCAGCCTTTCATCGCCAACTCTTCTTGAATAAGATCCATCATCACTCAACTATAACATTCACCTCTTCTTAGCACAAGCCACCTACTTCCCTTCAAAATATCCCTTATCAGTGTTGAGTATACTTTTAAAATTAATGAAAGTATTCATTGCCAAAGGAGAAAAATGATGTCTAATTAATGGTCAAAAATGAATCCCTCCACCAGTGGAGTACCCACACCCATCCTTGCTTTATTCTCCTCTAACCATCTGCCTCAACATCTGGTATAACTCACACCTAAGGTTATATTCTCCTCACCTGCAGTTTCACTGTCTTTTCCTGGCATAGGTACAGGTTATAAATACAAATTTATGTACTTGCATTGACTTGCCCTGTTGATTCCACTTTGAAAGTTACCTTTTGTGTGATTAGGTAGCTTGAGCAGGGCCAAGAAGGGAGCAGGATTCTAGATATCACAAGTTCTCAAGGGGCTTGATTTGCTGGTCATTCCGACAAACATAGAGTCCCTACTTACACCAATATCTCAGAAGTTCTGATATTATAAATCAAAATACCAGTGTTCCAAATTTGTCCAACTGCATTTCAGAAGACCATTTTGATACACTTCAGTATAATCTGTGAAACTATTCAGAACCACCCTAAAACACGCCCTGTAATGATGTCACAGTTATGGAAAGTGACTGTTTCTGTTCTGCTTTCTTGTACTGCATTGTTGATCATGTGATGTAAAATATTATTTTAGTCTGGGGTAGCAAATTGGGATAGCCAGTTGGGTTAATTAAGCTAGAGGTAAGCAGTTAATATAAATTAGATGCTAATAGAGCAAAACTGGTATGAAAAATGACCATATTGTTTGTATCTTGATAAAAAGTAGAATGCATAAAATGTTAAAATGTACTGGAGGTTTGGTAAAAATGCATTGATAATAACTTAGACCTTTTATATCAGCTATGGAAGATTAGGGAAATTAAGTGAAGTAATATAATATTGTGTAAAAACTAACAGACTGATTTAAAAGAATAGTGTTAATCAAATCAAACCTTTATTCTCTAAAGTAGTAAATAAAATTGCAATGTACAAAAGATATGAAGACTTATGATAATAAAGAATGCTATCTTAACATTTTAATAGTTGTAAATTGCATTGAAAGGAGGAACTGCTTTTTAAATGAGGCTTAAAAATAGCTGACACTTCAAAGGAAATTATCCAAAGGATTTCTCTGCAGTATTCAAAAATAATATTTGATTCCCAATGTTCAGTTATTAATGTTCTTTTTTGTATATAGAGAGCTGACCTCAGCATCTAATAACTCTTTGAGGCATAGAATTAATTGGAAAAAATACAGGCCATGCATCGAGTAAAATCAGAGGGAAAGATCTTACATATCCCCTGATCTTGTTCTCATGAACTGTAATAAAACAGACATTCCTTATACTCTCTTAAAAAAAAAAAAAAAAAGGCAAAAAAATAAATGAACCAGCAAGGTCTAAGAGGAATCCTTCCTAAAAATGACTTGGTAAATTTGTACCTTTGTCATTTTGAGGGGTGCTTTTACACCAGTTTTAGCTATGGGATTTTCATAGAGATGCTTGCTTTGTCTAGAGTGCTTGAATAGGACCACTACCAGCTGGTTGTGCTTATTTTAGAAAATCAACTAGTTGCTCTCTCGAAATAAATTGGTAGCAGCATTTCTCTGATTATATAAATATCAGATGAGGAACATGCCTGTTTAATCTGAGAATGACATTCTGGAGTATTTTCTTCTTCATTCTGCTTAGCTTTATATAACTCTAGGACTAGAGTTACCTTAGCTATCACAGACCTACTGTTTCATTTATAGAAAGGAAAACTGAGGTCCTGGGAGGGAAGGTGTTGCACAACCATCCCAAGCGGGCAGGTCCACTGTTGACTCAGGCAAACAAAAAGAATCCTGGAATCCTAAGTGCATCTGACATGCCTTTGATGCTGAAGCAGAGGACCAGATACATAGGCTGACCAGCAGGCAGGGAGGCAGGCAGGCAGCAACTGAGCCTCGTAGCCCCGGTGATGTCTGGCTTCTAGGCCCGGGTATCCATATTTATAACTGCATGTGCCCTATGCTTGCGCTCCTAAGTGCTTTTTTTTTTTTTGCAATAACATGGTTTCGTGTGTGGGAAATGAAACCTGGAAGGAAAACAAAGCTGCAGTCGGTGGCTGCAGAGGCTGGTGGTGGGAGGTGAAAAGGAGCCTGAATTACCCCATGTTACTTACAGCAGGGACTCCATAGTCTTTGGTGGCAGCCTCAGACTTCTCCCCAATTCCCTCCATCTCGCAAGGGCTCAGCCTGTGTGGTACTGACTGCTGAAGGGACTGTGGCAGCATTTCCCAGTCTGTTTCTGTCAGCATAGTACCAGCCTCTTAGATAAAGGAAAAGATTAAAGAGCAGAGAGATTCAAACATAAACTTCTTGGGAGTTTTTATGCAGAATAAAGTGTATTATAGGACATACAGGATTTCTTTAGTATTGTCCATATTTTCCCATAATGCCAAAACCTAAACTAGAAAACAAGCAGCCTCTTTATTTCATAATAAACAATCCGGCTGACTTAGAATATTTGTATCACAAAACCATCCTTCCCCTTGGAGTTACCTCCTCTTCTTCCCAACAACATGCTCCTCTTTATCCCACTGTCCCTCCTCTCTCTCTCTCTATCTCTCCCTCTCTCTCTCATACACACACACACACACACACACACACACACACTCTGCAGAATATGAGAGTGTATCTTCTTGGAATTGCAGAAACTGGCCTCATTTTCCTAACAGAAATGATCCACCCAGGTGATAGCAATTTGTTTGCCTGAAACATGCTGAAGGGAGGGAGAGTAATAGAGCAAGCACGCTGAGCCAGGTTTTAAATTTAAGTCAACCCTCCATATTTTCCAATCTATTTGTACTTTTTTCCCTGCTTTTAACCATTTTGTAAGGGGCGTTAAGTGCTTTGGTAGTGCTGCACAAGCAGAGCTGTCCCTAATGATAATACTGTACATTTTCTTTACAAATGACTTGGATATACTTGGTTTAATGGGGCTATTTGTATGGTGTATTTCTTGCATTGTGAAACATTTATAGTTGCATAAATTGTATAGTAAACTAAAAATTTGAATAAGATATTTTTCAAAGTGCTCCGTAAGTTACATTATGCATTCTTCAGACACAGATGTACTTGAGCTCCCAAGCCACTGGAATATGGATTTTATTGCATGTACTGGATGGCTCTTTATATGGGAAGACTGAGGCCTTCCTGTCTCTGAAATGTGTTCTTCCCTTCTTCCACGCCAACTGGTAACAGCTCCCCTGTAACACAGAGCAAGGGTTTTCCTGCTACTGATATATCCAAATGTTACTAAGACAAGGTCAGAGGTAATAGGGGATTTAGATCACCTGAGTATCGGTGACTGAAGAGACCCTCGCTTTGCTATGGAGAGCAACAGCACCCAGGACACTGGGAGAAAGAAAAACCAAAAAGTCCACCAGTGAGGAGTAATAGGTCACAGTGTTCATTTGTTAATAAAACAAATGTTCATTTGTTAATAAAAAGTATTGATTTTGACTGTTCAAGTAAATAACCTCTCTGTAGTGGCAGGAAGGCCACAGTGCAGGTTTTCTATGACTGGAATCTACGTGTGAAGGAGAGTTCTGGAGCCCTTGATGGCTTTTCCAGGCTTTTATTGAGTTTACCAGATACACGGCAGGCTGGGGTGCAGGGTGGGGCCGGCAGGAGGCTGGCAGGCCTCCCAGCCCCTGGTGAATCTTTATTCTGGGCTCTCAGGCGTTCTCTTGTGACCTTGTTCTCTCGCTTCCTTGTTCTGGTCCAGACTCTCACTCTACTGGCATCCCTGTGACGCCGCCCTTATAAGCCCCATCTCAGCCCAGGTGTACCCACTTACATATGCCCTCACCCCACTCCAGGTGCCTGCCATCAGGCATGCATTCAGGACCGCAGGGATCCATCAGCAAAGCTGATGGCGGGAGGGCAGAAAAGCCTGACAATTATTTACCCGACACTCTCTGTTGTGAATTTGGTTTAAAAATCAATTGCTATGATTTATTTATGTATAGTCATCAAGCATTTTCTGAGTGTAAATGCTGTGCCAGGACCTATTATGGACCTGGCAATAAAAGTCATGTTCCTTGTTTCTTGTAATTTGGTTGTGAATATGCAGAAAAATCTGGTCTGGACTTTTCACTCTAGTGCCATCTTGCTAGACTCTCTAAATCCGTATTTTAAACTGGTAACTCAAACTTTCTGCTTCCTAAAACAGTTTATGCTTCAAAGGTTATAATATCACTAATATACCTCGTTCTGCCTCCAGCCCTATTGTTTAACATAAGATTTGCCTACATTGATTCATTAGTGCTTTAATTCTTTTCTCAGAAAACACGGTTTTACCATGTTTTACATGTTTTGCCATGTTTTACCTACAAAGTATCAATCTGCAGTAGATGTTAAAGAT